AGAACTTGTGTCGCTTAAGTTTCGTCGGAACGAAGTTACGGAAAATCAATTAACAAACGGACGTAACAATATACATACTTCTATAAATCATTCACATCTGGCTTCACTGCAAACGACGCAATGATTTGGAACTTGGAAGGCATAAACTCAATTCTTACCGTGAACACTTACTGACTTAGGTCATTTCAGAAACAGCTAATAATAGTTTATTTGAAACTTTCCAATTATATTCTAGCAACAACTAACTTATAAAAAATGTTTACTACAAATCTTAGGTGATTCAACTTTAAATTTATACAAACATACTGTTACGATAGCGGAAGTCATGTGACGTTAGTAACACGTCATGAGCTTCTAGAAAATTCATGTCTGTTCGTGAAGCCTCGAGTGCTTACTAGATGTGCGGTATTCTTGCATATAAGACCGCCAAGAAGAGACGGCAACAATAGAATTGAATTGCAGACAGAGATAGAGACGGACAGTTGAGTCAAGCGCGTGAATCGTTCGTTGTGAATTATAGCGTTTGTTTAAGTTATAGCGTGATTGTGGAAATTAAGTGTATTGCAAAGTTGTATTGAGAAAGAATAAACTAGTTTTATTTAAGAAAGGACTTGTATCGCTAAAGTTTCTTCGGAAAGAATTTTTACTGAAAATTAACAAACGAACACAGAGGCGTAACAATACATTAAAATCAGTGCTCATTAATATAAATTAATTTAATGGCAGACTTGTCTAACAGTCTTTGTAAAGTAGTTTGCAAATGCAATTGACCATGCATTGACCAAGGCTACAGTATTTTAATCAAATTTTATTATACATATTTTTTTATTAAATGTAAAGAAGTTGCACTTACAACAACATGATATGCCAAAATCCACTCGTACCAGCTGAATCATGTAAGGCTCTAACAAGTTGACGTACCACCAGGAGGCTTTACCACTTTGGGCTTCTGTCATTGTACATGTACCAGCACTGAAAAATGTACTGGTGCTGCCATCTATGGCTTTTTGTGGAATTCCTTGACCGATGATGGAAGATTGCATGGGCGCTTTTCCTGCTGCGACATTTAATACTGTAATGAAAATTATATATTAATGAAACAGAGGTATGAAACTAGTTTAGAACTAAGTCTTTACGTTTTATTTTTCCTATAAACCGATCCATCATTAAATCTAATTTCTACAACAAACAATCAAGTGAAAATGTGTCGAACTGAATGCAAAGTGGCTACAACTGCAACATAAAAACAAATCTCAAACTATGATTGACCAACAAGTTTATGTAAACCCATCACAGAAGATGGCAATTGCAAACTCAGCTATATTCTTTTACCAAAACAGCATTTTAGTTTCATTAATTTGTTTATTTTTACAATTATTAGTGTTAGCTCGCGTGCCATCGGTTGGGAAATAGCATTGTCGTAGATCACTTGGTTACATTTTCGTGTACTTCATACTTAAACCCACGCTGCCTATAACAGATTTTCGCTATTCATGTTTTTGTCCCCTCCCCCCAATGGTTCAGCTGTATGTCTGAAGGCTTATAATGCTAAAACAATGTTTCGATACTCGTGCTGGGCAGAGCACAGATAGCCCATAATAACAAACAAAGAAGCAAAATAGTCATGTTTCCCAATTAATCTTCGTAGTGAAAATAATGTTTCACGGTAGGTCAGCGGTAAGTTTATGGACTTACAACGCTAAAATCAGAGTTCGACTCCCCGCTGTGGACAAATGCCCATTATGTAGCTTTACGCTATAAAACTCAACTACTTAAAATAGTCTGATCGCTTTTTCAAATATTACATAATCTGGTATTAAAATCCATATTACAGTTACCACTACTGAAAAAAAACAACAAGATAATTTTAGACCGAAATAAGTGATTTATCTATAACTTTGAATGTTTTCACCTGTAAATAAAAGTATGTCCAAGCATCACCACTTTTAACCAACATCAAATTATATGAAACTAAAATAAAAAAGTCGTTTGATCTTTTATTGTTACTAAGGTTGAAGAAGATGTAATTTATTTTTTGTTTCGGATGTTCGCAACGGAGCTACAGAAGTGCCCTCTACGCTAGCAATTTTGAACTGGTAGACTTGGGGAAAGGAAGCTAGCCAATAGCACCCACAGAAAAACTCTTGGACTACTCTAACCCAAATAGTGGGGTTTGACTGTCACTCTTATAATGCACACAAGGCCCTAAGTACAGAGCGCGATTTTTTGGCAATGGGACGCAAGCCATTGAACCTCGATTTCACAGTCTGGTACTCTAATAACGAGGCCAAGGCCAATTTAATTAGAGATAAGGAATTCAATTGTTTAAGTGTGCATAATAAAAAATATATTATTGGCCAAAATGTTTGCATACTGTTCTATATTGATATTATTGTCTACATGCATGGAATAGTTATTGAGTAAATGCTTGAGTAGTAACAGAAAATGTAGTGTATGATCAGAAAAACATGTACGAGTTATTATTCTGGTCTGTAAAAGTTGTTCTGAGCATTTGTTCGTTAAACACACATACATACCTGTTTTATATAAAAGGGTGTGCTTTTGGTATAATCTTTTTCGAAACATATCAAGGAGTTCTTTGAACAATTTCTTTGTTCTTGGTGTAGTGTCATGCCTCGTCACATGCCAGAAGTTATAGGACGACAAATTTCGACTGTCCAGACATGGTATGAAGCAAACGGGCATTGCCTGGACGGTAGGGTAACCCTAGTGTACTGTATCCAGAATCCTGAAACGTCATCGAACTCCAGGAAACGTTGCTCCAGGAAAGTCTACTGGTAGACGCCGAATAATTACTGCCCGAGATTACCGTGTTTTGATCAGGTTAACACGTCGAGACCGAAAGAAGTCTTGCAACATCTTACGACAGGAATGGCATGAACAAGATATCCAAGATATCCAAAAGAACAATGAGTAGGAGACTGAACTACCAAACAAGGTTATTTTGTAAGAAGGGTTATCTACAAAACGATAATAAACAGAATTCACTGCCGTTACCGTGTTACTTGGGAAAGACAGTACGCCAACTTACAGTTAAGACATTTGCGACATTTCATCCTTTCAGATGAGTCCTGTTTCCAGCTTGTTAAAGCTGATGGTAGGGTTCTTGTTCGTCGTTTGCTTGAAAAACAGATGAGGGAAGACTGTCTTTCACACAGGCAACACACAGGAGGTGGTGTAGTACATGTTTGGGCAGCTATTCACCATGGTGGAAAACTACTCTTCATAATCCTCCAGGAAAACGTCAATGGCGCATCATACAAGCATCACATGGAGACGATATTTCAGCTATATGTTAGGACAAGGTTTGACAATAACTTTGGGTTCCAGGATGACAGTGACACTGCCCACAGTGCGCGTATTGTACAGGATTATTCTCGACCAGGAGAATGTTACAAGATTGCCATG